ATATGATATAAAAATGAGATAATAAATATAAACATATTGCATATGATACAAACAAGAATATTCTTTCTAAATCATCAGTGAGATAATGAATGATATAATCGATGGATATAACTTATTAAATATATTGTTTACGATACAAACAAGAATGTTATTTCTAAATAATGATGAAAATGACGAAAATGATGAAATAATTTGTATATGTTACTAAAAATAGTAAAGATTGTCTATCAAAAAATCACGTGTTCCGACTTATCAAGAGTAATTTATTATACCTGGCTGGTGAAGTCGTCCGACTTACAGCTTAACAAGGTTTATATATGTTGTCCGACTTATCAAGAGATTTTAATTATTGAAAAAAAGGGCTAAAAAATTTTGTCCAAGTTAAGCCAAATCCAACTTATCAAGTTTACCTATGTATGTAATTTAAAAAAATAATCATTTAAAGGTTGGAAATTAGAACTTAACTATTGCATTATTATTCTTATGTTTAAAAAAATTAAGCCCAAAGATTGAAATTGTGCATGTTATCCAATTTCTTAATTTATTATTACTATAGATCTTATAGAACTGGTAGTCCAACTTCATGTTAAGATTATTAGATGAAAGATCAATATCACATTCATATGGGTACTCATTTAGAAATCAACCAATCAATCAGAAAGTGGTTTTTATACATGGTAAAAGGTTTACTATACTGCCAGCATTAACTTTAGAAGGATACATTGCTTTTCAAAGTTTTATTTTAGCACAAATTGTAAGTAATGTAAATAATTTAGGTATTATAAAACGAATGAAAAGGGAAAAGGAGAAAAAAGTTGTAATAGGAGAAAAGTTTATTTGTGTGATGTGAATAATGTTTAATTATTATTTTATAGTTACCATTAATGAATCCTTATCCACAAAAAAACTGTGTATTGGTAATGAATAATGCAGTTATTCACCATGATGATAAAATGATTCAATTAATGAAAGAAATTGGTTGTCATGTTTTGTTCTTTCCACTGATTACAATCCAATTGAATTATCATTTTCATTTATTAAAAAATGGACAATATATTTATGCAGAGTTGTGCGGATCCCATATTTGCATTAACAGTTGCCTGTATACAAATAACAACAAATTTGGCACATTCATATTTTAAAAAGTGTACATATATAAATTAAATAAAATAAGAATATTCATTTTTATTGTAATTAATATTTGATATCTTTATATTTTTCTGCCTCACTAATCATTTTTTTTCTTATACCAATTTTATCTACGTCCAAATCAATGAAATCAGAATCATTTAATGTCCAAAACATCAATTGATTCATTGATAAAACTGTCCAAAAATTGAGTAAACAAATCATCTCCATACTTTTGATCTAATTTTTCTAAAAGGTCATTTATTGATGGTATGTCTCTTGGTTGTGAATTAATTGGTTTTGTTGGTGAGAGCGATGAAAAATTGATTGGGTGATTATTTTGTGGATAGGAGGGATAAACTGGTGGTTGATATATTGGATAAACCCAAAAAACCCAGTCCCGTTTACTTCATCGAAAATCATTTCGTCAACAATCATTTCGTCGACACCCATTTTGTTGAAAGTTTGTTTTGTTGAAAGTTTGTTTCATCAACAATCACTTCGTCGACAATCACTTCATTGACAATCACTTCATTGACAATCATTTCGTCAAAAGTTCATTTCATCGAAAGTTTGTTTCGTCAAAAGTTCATTTTGTCAACAGTTCATTTCGTCAAAAATTATTTCGTCGGCTTATGTATCGTACTAATGATAAATGAGGTGATGATAGTGATGGCAACAATATCGACATTG